AATCATTTTTTGGATTTAAAAAAAAAGAAAAAAAAAAAACATCTCCATTTATAATTATTAGGAAAATCATATGATTATTACAATTATATATTATTTGCTAAATGTATCCCTTTTTATTGTTAATCAGACCCATAATATATATATATTTTGTAATTTTGAAAGTCAATTTCTAGTTTATGTTATTAATTAATAAATGTGTTTCAACAATGATTAGGAATATGATATTGAAATTAATTAGAGTAGAATTTCAATCATTATTGAGTTATTATTGTTATTTTTTTCAAATTATTTTTATTATAATTATTATTGTTGTTTTTAAAATGAGTTAAAATAAGTCTAATTTCATTAATTTTAAAAGCTTCAATTTTTAATATTTATAATTTCGTCAAACTTCACCTAATTATTAAATATACCTTATATAGATATTTCATATTTAGTTAGTTATGTTAATACAGTGATTGAAATTTAGAGTTTACAAAAAAAAAAAAATATAATAATAATAATAGTGGGTTTTAATTTAGTATTTCTGAAAAAATTAGAAATGATTTTAATTTCGAAAAAAAAAAATAAATTTCAAATTTGAAGATATAATTTATTTGTACCATTTTAAAAGTATCGTAATTTGAACATAATTTATTGATTAGAGTATCGATATCTCACTTAGAAGTCATACGTTCATATTTTGTCTCCGCGATACAAATAATATAATTTTATATTAAAAAATAATAAAATATCCACGTAATTTTACAGAACATGCAATTACCTTTTTTTGGACTACATTAAGTATGTAAACCTAATACCACCGAGACTTTATTTATTAATATTTGCATGGAGTTGACTATGTCAAAAGTGTTTTTTTTTAAATAAATAAATTTAATTACTTGACGCGGTTTTGTACACTCCAAGTCAACCATGTTATGGAATTCCAAGTCAACCATATTATTTTTTCATAATATTTGTCACGCTCCATTATTTTAATTTATATATTAATTTCTGAAAATAGAGATTAAAAAAGGAATTTTATTAAATGAAACAAAACGATTATACAATGTTTAGGTGCATTATTTGATTTGAGTATAGTTGATTTAATTAACATATTATACATATATCTATCTAAATTGTTGAATTCATTAAATAATAATAACATATTCTTAATCAAATAAATATAATTTCAACTTCTTAAAATTACAATTTTAATTCTTTGATTAAAAAGAAAAAGAATTTAGTATTAAATGTTAAAAATAAGTTATAAATTCTTGGAATGGATTAAATTTATAATTTACATTCAATTAAATTAAATGTTACAGAACAATTTATTAAGAATTTAATCCCAATTGTGAATAAATGAATAATTAGAAAAGTGGGTCGCGTGAACTACACGTGGTCAGGCCCCGCGTCGACTAATTTACATGTTTTACACGCAATACCCTTAACGGCCTTTTTTTTCGCTTTATTATTATTATTATTATTTTAATAACAAAACCGACTTCGGAAGTGACCTTCCAACTTTTTTTTTTACCAATTTTTTTTTCTGGTGCTTTTAATAATTGTGTTTTATTACGCATTTAATTTCGGTTATGGTAAATATATATATATATATATATAGACATAAAATTTAGCAAAAGGATTTTATATTATTTAAATAGGCGATTATTTACGTAAAGATGATGTCTAAATACTAAATTTTTCGATTAGATAGGAAAAATGATTAAAGATATTTTATTGATCACGATGAGATGAGACAAAAACATATCATCACCTGTCAAGTTGAAGAATGTTTGTGTAACCGTCCAAGTCTATTGTTAATAGATATTTTTTTTTTTTTTTTTACATTAGTTATAAAAATAATTAATTAAAATTAAATTTATTCATAAGATATAAAGCATATAGGGTTGGTGGTTTGGGTATGATTCAATTTTCATTATTAATTTTATTAATATTATTTGAAAAGTATTTCTTATTTCTTGTTGGATCTCTCATCTTTTTTTAATAAAATAATAATAAATAAATAAAAAGACGTGTGGGTTTTTTTAAAAAAATAAAATAAAATTAGTTTATAAATGAAAGATTATTAGATTAAAATTAAAAGAATACGTATAAGGAAACAAGATCCCATACCGATTGCATTGGATAAGGGAATTATAGGTTGAGAAACAAACTAAATAGTAAATTGATTTTGTTAAAAATAAATAAATAAAATAAAATAAAATAAAAACATCTGCCGGACAGCTTGCAAATCTTGTCACCTTTTCCCCTTTCTTGTTTGTCCGTAATATCAACGCGCTATTTTGACTTTCTCCTTCTCATTTATTAATTTCAATTTCTTGTGCTTAATTTAAGAAGATATAGAAGATAATAGATTACGCCATGCAAAACATCCATGGAATAGATCTCATATTAGTTGAAAAAGGGAACGAAACATTTCCTCTTTTTAATAAATGTGAGGCGGGCCTCTAAGAGAGGTGAATTGTGAGATCTCACATCAAATTGGAGAAGGGAACGAAACATTACTTATAAGGGTGTGGAAATCTCTCTGTACTCGACCTGTTTTAAAATGACGAGACTGATGATAATACATAACAGGCTAAAGCGAATAATATTTACTAACAAGAGCTTGAATTGTTATAAATGATATTAGAGTCGAAGTTTTAGTGGTTTGGTCAAAAGACAACGTACACACCAACAAACATTGAGTTTGATGGTTTTAAGAAAAACCCACCTCCATTCTCTTCTTATAAATTGCACACAAATCCCAATTCCCAAACCTCAAAACAAACCACCACTTCTCTCTCCAATGGCGGCCACCACATTCTCCTCTCTCATCCTCCTCTCCCTCTACATAACCACCGCTCAAATTCCCCTCTCCGCCGCCTCCGTCTGCACCTCCACCCCCGATCCCTCCTACTGCAAATCCGCCCTCCCCAACCAAACCGGCAATGTCTATTCATACGGCCGCTCATCTTTCAGAAAATCCCTCTCATCGTCGCAAAAGTTTCTCCGGCTAGTCAAGAAGTACCTCCGGTCACGCTCGTCGTTGACGGTTCCCGCCGTCGGAGCACTGGAGGACTGCAAGCTGTTGGCGGGACTGAATATTGATTACTTAACGACGTCGTTCCGGGCGGTGAATACGACGAGTTCGAAGCTGCCGGAGATGAAGGCGGACGATGTACAGAGTTTGTTGAGTGCGATATTGACGAACCAGCAGACGTGTTTGGATGGGCTCAAGGCGACGGCGGGTTCGTGGTCTGTCAAAAATGGCCTTTCCCTCCCACTTGCCTCTGACACCAAGCTGTACTCTATGTCCTTGGCTTTATTTACCAAAGGTTTATATATATATTTATATATATACTTTTTTTTTTAATTTTATTTATTTATTATATTTAATTAATATAGAGTCGTGATTTTTAATAATTAATAAGTTATTAAAATCAAATATAATTCAAAATAATATATATTTATTATATATATTGATTTCCCGTAGGTTGGGTTCCGAAGAAGAAGAAACGGTCGACATGGACGGCGGCCGGGAGTCTGGGCGGGTTCAGAAACGGAAGAATGTCGCTCAAAATGTCGAACAGAGCGAAAGCGATTTACGAGATGGCGACGCGCCGGAATCTGCTGGAGACTGACGACGGCGGCGACGACCAGATTTCGATCAGAGACATCGTCATTGTCAGCCAAGACGGCAGCGGGAATTTCACGACTATTAACGAAGCGATTGCGGCGGCGCCGAATAACTCTGCTCCGACCGACGGCTATTTCTTGATCTTTGTGTCGGTCGGAGTTTACGAGGAATACGTGTCGATTGCGAAGAATAAGCGGTATTTGATGATGATCGGAGATGGCATTAATCAGACCGTTATCACTGGTAATCGGAGCGTCGTTGACGGCTGGACCACTTTCAATTCTGCCACGTTTGGTTAGTGTTTGATTAATTAGTTGAATTTTCAATTTTGTAATTAATAATTTCATTTTCAAGTTGGTTATTAATAAATTTTAAATGTCCTAAATAGATTTTTTTTTTTTTTTTTTACCAGCGGTGGTGGGACCAGGATTTGTAGCGGTAAACATGACGTTCAGAAACACCGCCGGAGCAATAAAGCACCAAGCCGTCGCCGTCCGTAACGGCGCCGACTTATCTACTTTCTATCTCTGCAGCTTCGAAGGCTACCAAGACACCTTATACACTCACTCCCTCCGCCAATTTTACCGCGACTGCGACATCTACGGCACAGTCGACTTCATCTTCGGCAACGCCGCCGTCGTTTTCCAGAACTGCAACATCTACCCTCGTCTTCCTATGGCGAACCAGTTCAACGCCATCACTGCTCAGGGCCGGACCGACCCAAACCAGAACACCGGAACCTCCATCCATAACTGCCGGATCACCGCCGCTGACGACCTCGCGAACAACACCGGCGTCGCCGTGAAAACGTTCCTCGGACGACCGTGGAAGGAATATTCAAGGACGGTGTATTTGCAGAGCTTCATGGATGAGCTAATTAATCCGGCGGGGTGGAGGGCTTGGGATAAGGATTTTGCTTTGAACACTTCGTATTATGCTGAATTTGGGAATTTTGGGCCGGGATCTAACACGTCGGAGAGGGTGAATTGGCTGGGATTTCATTTGATTAATGATACCGATGCTGGGAATTTCACGGCGGCGAACTTTGTCTTGGCGGATGATTGGCTGCCGCAGACCGGCGTTCCGTACACCAGCGGCTTGACGGAGTAGGAAACAGGAAGAATTTGTTATATATATATATAAAATGAAATTCCAAAGGCTAAATGTAAAGCTTGGGATGATGATCGATTCTTTTGTACGGTTATTGAATTTAAATTTTTAGAATAAAAATACCACAAACTGTTCATCTTCAAGAATTGTAGGGTACATTTGTTATACTAAACATTATGGCTGCAAATTCAGCGACCTTGTGTTTTCTTCTCAAATGAATGATCCATATTGCTCGGGAAGCAACGGCGCAGCAGCCGGTGCTCGGAATGTGCATCGAAGTTCAGAGACTTCTTTGACATCGCGAACTGGAAAAGGCGACTTGATCGGTTTCTCTGAAGATTGGTCTGTATCCATGGAGATCTGCACTTCTGTGATTTACAACGGAAGCGACTCGCTTGATTGATAAGTCATTTGGATTAGCATTGCAGATCCCGAGTTTGACGATGAACACGCCTGTCGTACCTTTTCCGGGGCCATCGCTCTCGATCCATACGTGACCTCCCATGAGATTTGCAAACCTGAATCCAACAACCCATGTGAAAACAGATCAAGAAAAACTAGCACGTAAGTCAACTCATGATTCAAGAGATTCGATAGCTTATCAGAGAAGATAGTTGTGAGATCCCACCGCGGTTGGGGAGGAGAACGAAGCATCTTTTACAAGGGTGTGAAAACCTCTCCCTAGAAGACGCGTTTTAAAACTTTAAGGGGAAACTCGAAAGGAAAAGCTCAAAGAGGACAATATCTGCTAACGGTGGGCTTGAGCCGTTACAAATGGTATCAGAGCCAGACACCAAGCGATGTATTAGTGAGGAGGCTGAGTTCCAAAGGGGTGGACACGAGGCGGTGTGCTAGCAAGGATGTTGGGCTTCAAAGGGGGTGGATTAGAGGTCCCACATCGATTGGATAAGAGAACGAGTGTTAGCGAGGACGCTAGGTCCTGAAGGGGGTGGATTGTAAAATCTCATATCGGTTGGGGAGGAGAACGAAGTATCAAGGGTGTAGAAACCTCTCCTTAGCAGACGTGTTTTAAAAACATTGAGAGGAAACTCGAAAGGAAAAGAGTCTAAAGAGGACAATATCTACTAGCGGTGGGCTTGAGCTGTTACCGTAGTATTTTCAAATTTTGTATGTTGGGTGATCCGAGGCATACCGTTTACAAAGAGCCAATCCGAGTCCAACCCCACCATTTGTTCGGCTAGATCGCGTTCGTAGTTGAGTGAATCTAGTAAACAGATGAGGAATGTCTTGGGGAAGAACACCACATCCTGAATCTTTAACCTGAGAAGCAGAAAGAACAGAACAAAATGATTTAGAACATTGAATGCATATGTTCCTCATAATTCAACCATATCCGATGATATCAACCTGAACTCGGAGGTAGAAATGGCGGTCGGACTGCATCGGATAGAACTCGGGAGCGCGCCAATCTCTCAGAGACTCAAGTTTTGCAACAGATACTATGATTGAAACATGACCTTCCTTAGTAAACTTCACCCCATTACCAACGATATTCAAGATGATTTGCATAAGTCGCTTCTCGTCACCAACGGCACAGACGGGCAAATCTGAGGCCAACATCAACGCCATCGACAGCTTCTTAACCGAAGCAATGGGCTTCATAAGATCCATTACCTGCAGTTCAAGCTTCATGATATTAGAACAAGATCTAATGATTGAGACAACCTTGGATACCAAAACTCACCTCTTTGAAAATAGCATGGAGGTTGAATGATCTTATGTTCAATGCCAAACTACCATCTTCGAGTCTGGAAAGGTCCAAGACATCATTAATCAGTGTGGCTAGAAGATTACTACTCTTAAGTATTGTTTCTATCATCACTCTTTGTTCTGGACTCAGCTCGGTCTCCAAAAGTAGGGACGATAGAGCGATTGTTGCGTGCATTGGCGTCCTCATTTCATGGTTCATGACAGCCAAGAAGTCGTTACGAGCGTGAACCGCCATCTCTGCTTCTCTTCGAGCTAAATCCAATGCTACGTTTTGGTCCACGAGCTGATCGCGGGCGTGCATAGACTCTTCGAGAATTGCAGCATGTGAAAGAGCTACAGCTACCTATATGGATTTCAAATTCCTGATGGGTGATTAGTACAAGGAAACATGAAGACAAGACAGGAAACAAAAGGAATGTGTGTGTGTGTGTGTGTGTGTGTGTGTGTGTGTGTGTGTGTGTGTGTGTGTGTGTG